AAGGTAAATCTGAAACTCCTAATTACTCTTTCTAAAAATACAAGAACAAAAGACAGTTAACAAAACTGAAAGTCATCAATTTTCAAACTGGTAAAAGGAAGCCTTTTTTGCATAACTAGTCTGCGGAACTCATTGTCACAAAATAATTGATATCAAGAGGTTAATAGTATTCAAATATTAAAAAAGAATCGGACATTTACTTGTATAATGAAAAGATCCATCATTGCATTTAGAACACCTAGCTTAGAAGGAACAGGATAATACAACCATTATTAGAGAGAGAAAACTGCAATATATGACCCTGTGCTCTAGTAAAATGGGGCAGTTCCTATATTTCTTTCTGTTTTGTGTACAGTCGTATATATTCCCAACAGTGTAATTCAAAATCCTGTTTTCTGTTATTTTGACCAGCCAGCTGACGTTCAGACTTAAATTAGACTACATTCATACTTAAATTCAAGTGACAGGGTTCTTGTTCTTTGGAAAGAGAAACTATGATATGGAACTGGAGAGTCACTTGGAATCATTTAGGTCCTGATCCTGCAAGGTATTTGAAGCAGCTGAGGAGTCCCACTCAGTTCAGTGAGATTACACATACACTAAATCAAGCATGTGTTTATGTACCTTACTGAATTAATGTTGACTTGTTGATGTTCTCTCTAAATAGGAAATTACATCTTAAGTATTCCATTCCAGGATCTTCTGACAACATTTGTCTTATTTGCTTACTTTTTCCATCATCAAAAGTCATGAGTGGTGTATCTGCCACCTACATTCAAAGTTAATATGCCATTTTTTTTTAGTATTTTCCCCTAGGCTCCAGCACTACTGGTTCCAATGCGTAAGTTATTTATCAAAGCCTCTTCAATATTGATCTCTCAAATGCATTCCACTTCACACTGAATTTCCTTCTGTTGCATACAACACTGTAATCAAACCTATTTTTCTTCCTTTCTACAGAATCAAGTATTCTGACCATTTACATTTTTTTTTAAAGTTCAATTGACAATCAAAGTGTCAAGCCATTGATGGGTAATTTGAGCTTGATAAAACACTGTTTCGTTAAAGGGAACACAATGTAGATATTATCTGTCTTAGAACTTAGTCTTTTAGGGTGTTTATAGACATGCTTTGGGAGGTTGTGGGGTGGGAAGGGAGCCCTTTAATTAGCATAGCTCTGAGAGTTGCGCTAATTAAAAGTGCCTGCAGTGTCATATTTATCAGTGTCCCCGTGCTGAAAAAAGGCAGCAGGGTGCTTTACAACTAAAGCTTTTTGAACAAGCTGTAAAGTGCCCCAGCACCATTTTTCAGTGCAGGGACACTGATACATGTGACGCTGGAATCTGCTGGAGTGAAGTAATTACCATGCACTATAATTACAGTGCATCAGAGCAGCCTCCCTGCACATGTATAGGAGTCTTTAGGGTATAGTACCTCTGGGCACTTTTACACATGCTCCAGGGGTGGGGGGGGGAGGTGTTTTAATTAGAGCAGCTCCAAGAGCCGCTTTAATTAAAGTGCCACCACGTTTCATGTATCAGCGACCCCACACTTTAAAATGGCAGCAGGGGATGCTTGAACTAAAGCTTGTTCAACGAGCTTTAATTCAAGTCCCCCTCCACCATTTTAAGTATGGGGACTCTGATACACAAGCAATTGCCACACTCCAGTAGATTCAGTTAATCGAGTCTGCTCCAATGAGCTGGAATTCCAATGCATCAGAGCAGCCTCGGCACTCGTGTATATGTGCCCTCCATTGTGAGGTTCTAAGAAAATGCACATTAGCCTGGCTTAATGTGCACTAGCTAAAGCGTGCACTTTTTAAGTCATGCTTAATGCATATTAGTCTATTTTAATGTGCATTAAGTAAAAAGCACTTTTTACATGTTGCTTTCATGTGCATTAACATAGGCTAAGTAGATGTGTCCTTAGAGATTAGGAATTCTCCTGGTATTCAGAATTTGGCCTTCTAAGGTATGGGTAGGTAGCCAAGTAGCCTTCTACCCACAAATATACCAGTATTCCTGATGGCAGTCATTTCATTTCAGGTAGTGAAACTCAAGTTCTTGCGTTTGGTACTTTTGGTACCCTATTTTACAGAATGTGAAGGGTGCTACAAACCCATTTCACATTCCTTTTGATAAAGATGAAGGAAGTCACTTTACTTGAACTTATCACCTTTACTAATCATTTTTCCTTTGCTTTTTTTTTAAATAAGTAAATTAAATCTTGAAGAAATCTACCCAACTTGGTTATTCATTTGACACTGAGAAAGTAGGTATTATTTTGTGTACCACTTCTAGAGTAATATGATGAACTCTTCATTTTTTCTCTTAGGAACATTTATTAGGTTTTTTTTTATTTGTCTTCATACAAATCCTTCTTTATTTCTGAACTTCCTTTAATACTACAATATTTTTATGAGAGGGAGTGACCAGTAATAAAACTGAGGGTAGCCCCCTGATTTATGTATATTATTTTTCATATTTTATGCCCCATGCTGTTTCTTAAGCATCCTAACATTTATTTTGCTTTTCTCTTTTTTTCTGCAACTGCATATTGAGTAGAGATTATCACTCATATGCCTTATTTTCTGAGTAGATACAGTAAATTTACAAAACAATAAGGTGGTTGACTATTTCCTCCAATGTGCATTACTTTGTATATATTGATATACAATTTTATTTGTTGTCATGTTCTGCCTTCTTCAGCTCAGTCTGAAACCTTCTAAAGTTCTTCAGTGTTCTCTGGACTTGGCTAACCTTTTGCATCAGCTATAAACTGTGCCACTGCAGTGCTCACCATTTTTTCCAGTGCATTAAACATGTTAAAAAGTTTCTGGCCTAGGTGAAACTTTTATGGCACTCTGGTATTTATGTTTTGCCATGATAGAGATTGCCAACTATTCTTTGTTTTCTATCTCTTAGCCATTTTTTTTCTTCCTCTTACCCTATGACTGCTTAGCTTATTTAGTGGCCTCTTGTTAAGGATATTGTGAAAGGCTTTTGAAAATCTAAGTAAATTATGACAAATACTTCCCCTTTTTCCATTACCTTACAGATGTGTTCAAAAATTGTATTAGATTGGTGAGTGATGGTTTTACTATGCTGAAAATGTTCTGGTTTAAGCCTTACCATATGATGATTCAAGGCCTGGTTTATATTTAAAAGAGATGTGATTTTTCTACTAACTTAGTTATGCCACTGTAAGTCCATGCATGATCTCAGTTATAATAATAAAACTATGATTATACTCTAATGGCCATACTAGAAGAACCAGGGACAGTGCTAGAAGTTTAGCGATCTCTAAACTAGCAAAACCCTCCTTGTATAGTTAAGTTTTTTCATTATCACAAGTGTTGTATCATTCTGTTTTTAATTATCTGTTCGACCTGTTTGAAGAAATGTGGATTTACGCAGAATGAAACTGATAGCATAAGAAGATTCAGACCCACCTATTGGAGTCATGAATAATAATTATTTACAGCTCTGTATAGCTTGTTCCAATACTGTTTTAAAATATTTGAAAATAAACCTCATTTTAACCACCATCTCCCAATTAAAGTTCTGCATCTCATATCGTTACTGTTGAACCGTAAAATCGACCTTGGTTAACTCCAGAGTATCAGTGAAAACTTTTTTGTAATTTGCCTTTTAATCATGCAATAAATGCGATGTTGCTAGGGCTTTGTCACAAAGGTACCAAAATTAATTTTACATACTTACAGGACAGTTATAACTGAGTGAATTTTTAATTGCCACTTTTTACTGAATAAGACAGGGATTCCTTATTCTTATTTACACTAGCTAAATTTGTTTACCAGTTACCTTGCAAGATGCTTGCCAGTTATTCTCTGATCATTTTAACTTTTATACTTCCATAAAATAATTTATTTATAGTACCAAAAGAATGCTTTTTCTGATGGTTTGTTTCTGATGGCTTAATTTAAAAAAAAATATATTTGAGCAACTTGGAGAGTATACGATTTCTCTAGTGGTCCAGTGAGCAGCTCTGACTGTGCTACTCTGACAACCACTGCACACAATGACATCTCTGTTAAGGCGATGATCAGACTAGAAATGAATATCTAAATCTTTTTAAGTATATCATTCCTGTGCTTTTTCACCCAATGTTGGATCATTGCTGCCTATTTTACTATATGGACAATCATTTTAATTTATTTTTTTATTAATTTAGCTTTAAAGAGTATTTAATGTAACTAGAGTTTTGTCCTAAAAATGATGCCCTACTTCTGTTCTTGCCTTTGCATATTAACCTGTGATTGGGACCCAATATGTGTGTGTAAACCAATTCTGTTGTAGTTAACATTGATTAGACAGAAGGTGCATACTTGCATACAAAACCATGTGCAAACTGTGTTTGATTGTTTGACTTTCTCCTACCCTTGATTTGCCACGTACCTGAGGTGGTAAGTTGTTCTAGGAGGGAATGTGTATTTCTCTGTTTGTAGAGCACCTAACTCAGCACAGCCTTGGTCATGTCTAGGTTTTGTGGGATTTACATTTAATATAAATGTAATAATGATGTACCAGAAAATGTGATCTACACTGAGAGTTGTGCCTATGCCAAAAGGATTGCATGGTTATAATTTTCTATCATCCATTTCTTGGTGTGTGAAATAATATTTTTTATATATTTTGAAAAGCTCAACTTCATTATGAGTTGTAAGCCTGCCCAAGTAGAATTAAATGCACAATAGTAATATGTGAAAATGAACAACTGGTATATTTAAGCAGTTACCCACTCAAAATTCTCTAGTTTCATTCTGCTGAGATAGGTTTGACAACAAAAATTGTGCAATTTTAATAAATTCTTCTGAATACAATTTTTTTAAAAAGGGTGTCACTCAGCCTCTCCATTATCAACAAGTAGAAAATTCTATTCTGGTGACCCATCTGGAATGTTTTGTACCAGTGCTGACATTTAAATTGCTATTGAAGTGGAATATTGGAATCATCCTGTTATGTATTTTATTATAGGTGAAGCTAATGACAAGGATGTTCAGGTGGTAGAACTTCCCATCGTTGACAGCTTACATCCACGACCACCATATTTGCCATTGGCTGTCCCAGAAGACCTGGCTGATAGGCTAATTCGTGCCCATGGGGATCCTGCAGTATGGTGGGTCTCCCAATTTGTCAAATATTTGATTCGTCCACAACCTTGGCTAGAAAAGGAGATAGAAGAAGCAACCAGGAAACTCGGTTTCAAACATCCAGTTATTGGGTAGGCATTCTATGTTGACTTTCACTATAAATAATTTTATATGTATTATGAGTTGTTTTTAGTTAAGGAATTATTGTATTGCCTTGCCCCAGACCCTCACAGCAAGAATTTTTGTGACAGTGAGGGTTGTGGACAATAAGGTTTAAATAAAATTATTGTTGTAATTTATTCATTGCACTATGTAAATGACAATTAGATATCTATCTCCATAATGTACTAGATGTAAAAGTAGACTCCCCAATGGGTCGTACACAAATTTTCTCCCACATATAGCAATCTCAAATCATTCATTTTACACTACTCTATAAAGGTTGCTTACTCCTCTGTTTTCAGGTGCACAGCCATACTTCCATTCTTACCTACTTCTTTAAGTGCTCTGTGGTAATTGTGTCACATAAAAGTTAAAAATAATCTTTTCTTCTATGCTTTGGTTTGTTAATATACATTAATGTATATCCCAATACCATTCCTATCCTTGCCTTCTATTTAGGCATCAATAAAAGCACACCAGAGCCTGCAAATACCACTTCCTCCCTTGTACTGGGTTTCATAACATTCCTTCTACCTTTGGATACAGGTTAAAGTCTGTAAATAGTTGGGGGTCTTTTTGCTTCAAAAGTTCATGTTATTTGGAGCACCACTTCTGTGGTTTGCTTTGGTGGTAACTCCTTAAACCCCTTGAAACTTAGACCACTTAGAACCTTTCAAAATTAATGTTATCTCTTGTCAACAAAGTCATTGTTCATTAAATTAGCCCACCTGGTTCTGATCTTCCTATTAAATGGGATTTCTGTGAAGGTTTCATAGTGTTGCCCTGTAATATAGGTGTGCCAACTATTGATCAGTGTTTGAATTGTTTGCTTTATTTTGTTTAAACATTTTTTTAACAAGTGGACTCTATTTTTCTTCAGCCCATTTGGATTTGGGGTATTTGGGACTATGAGTGCTGTGCTGAAACTCATTTTTACATGCAAACTTTTACAACTCAAAATAGTTAAATTGAGGACCATTCTCTGTTCTCATTATTTTAGGAATCCCATATGTAACTTATGTCATTTCCAAAGTCTGACAAAGTCTAATTGCTTACTCCAAAATGAGTCCAGTATTTTCTAACAGCCTTTTTCTATGCTTAATATCACTGACTCCTGTACAATTAGGTTTCTTCTAAGAGGCTGTGTTAACTCTCCAGAGTTACCAGTTTGACTCAAAAGCATAAGATCAGTAAGAAACTCCTCAGTTGTCTCATGCTTTTTGTTTTGTCAAATAAAAGTTCAGCCTTTTGAAGGTTTCATTTTGTTTTGACCTGTAGTACTCTTCAAATGTTTTCAGGATTGTCTCATAGTTAGTCTTTTCTGTTTCTGACATTTGCAAACTGTTGTACTCCGTGATATCTTCCTGCCTTGCTAGATTAAAAAAATAGCTACTTTGATTTGGTCTTCATTCTCCATGGTTCCACCAGCCAACATAGGGATGTTGAAGCTCTACTTGAACTTGTTTCAGATTTCTGCTCCATTGTTGGACAGCTGTGACTGCTCTGGAAATTGCAGATGTGTCATTTCTTCTTTTGTTCATTTTTTTATTCCCCACTTTTGCTACCATGTTGTAACAGGCTGCAGGCTGGCAGCGTGGGTCATTTAGCCAGCTGGCAACAAGCTGCCTGTGGAAGGGGACTCAGCTGGCAAGCAATTAGCAATAATGAGGGGAAATAAAAGAAGAGGAAGAGGAAGCAATTGGGAGAAACTAGAGGGGGAAATGTTTAGATGGAGGAGGGTTCCATCTTCCCCTTGAAGAAAAACTATAGGGTGAGAGCTAACCCATGCTGGGCGTGTTGATTTTAGATTGTTTGATATTTGTAACTGAACCCCGTGATGCAGATCAACCCTGGGGTTTTGAAGCCTGTGTACTGGGACTGGGCTAAAGGCATATGTATTTGGATTGTTTTGCTTTTGGATGAGTCCTGGGAATCCAGGCACTACAGCCTGTGGTTTTGAGCCCAGAGAAAGTGTGTTTCTGGGACCAGATTGAAGGGCTCAAGGACTGATTGAAGCCAGGCAACCTGGTCACCTTGCTACACATGTGTTATTTGGTCGATCAATAATTCAGAGCCAGACTCCAGAAACAATTAACACAGTTTATTGAAAGTAGCAGACAAGCTTCTTGGGACAGCTGCTACTGACTTCCCTCAGCTAGCATACATTGTGAGGGCTCTGCCCCTCCCCCAGGTAGCTTCCAGAACAGGTACATACAACAATTTGTAGAGCTTTATCACTTATGGACACAGTAGATCTGACCAGATGTTAGTCGTCTTATTGGTTTTTGTTTGTAGGCCCAGTCACGCTCCATCCTCAGGCACTTGCTAAGGGAAACCTAACATCCAAACCTTTGGATCTCAACTGAAAGACTTTAAAAAGACTCTCTGCAGCTCTCTTAGGTCTCTCTTCTGCTTGTATAGTGGGTTAGCTTCAATACCATTCTTCTCTTCTCAGCAGGCTCTGGTTTCAGCCCCTTGGGAGGAAACATGCAACATAGCATCTTACCATGGTATAACACGTGCAAATCCAGTATTGAATTATCCGAAAAATCAGGAATAAAACAATACGTGTCTAAGTTATACTAATGTATAGCATGTGTGTCCACAGTTTGAGCAGCTACCGAGTGGTGAGGTGCTGGTTGGCTTTTGGCAAGAAGCAGCAGACACTGAACTTGAGCACCAGGGCATAGTGGGCAGGACCCATGTCCAGTTGCGCTGTGTTGCCCTCTAGTAGACGCATGACTCCTGCCTCCTCCAATTCCTCAGGGTACCCTTCCCTACTGTTTGCCTGCCATGCCTTGATGTTCTAAACAAAAGGTTGGGAGGCTGCCTTGAGGCCCAGAGGGCATCCAGTCCACTACCAGTCTGCCTTTGTTCAATCTGTCGTGGCTCTTTCAGCCTTATTGGTGCCCTAGGACACCGGGTGCCTTAAGGGCGGTGGGCATGATCTTCTTCCTTCCCTACAGCCATGCCCATGCCGCTGGCTGGTACACAGTACCTCTTCAGAGAGGTTGCCCAGCAATGGTTGACCTTCTTGGGCTTTGAAACCTTTGTAGGGGCTTTGGCCTTCCTGGCTTTGGCTCCTTTTCTCTAGGTGTGCCCCTCTTAGCATAAGCTACTGCACTGGACATTGGATTCTGGGCTCCAGCCCTAGTCTCACCCATTTTTTGGCTTTGGCCCTCTACCCCTGTTTGTGCCATGCCCAGGCTTGGGGCTCTCTCTGGCCCTGGTCTTGCCTTTCTCAGGCTCTCAGCCTCCTCAGTCCCATCTTGGTCCCTCTTGGACTTCAACTCTGGCTGTCCTGGCTTTAGGCTGCCTCTGTTGCCCCACTCAGGCTTGAACTCTGGCCCTCTTGGCCTCAGGTCACCTAGGTCTTGTGCTGTGCTCTTGGCAAGGCTCTAAACTGTGCTGTGCCCTTCATGCACCTCCCCTGTGGCCTAAATTTTGGTGTGCCTCTCAGGCACCCCACTGTGGCTTCTCTTCACCCCTTATAGCCCCACTCAGTCCTCCAGTGATAAACTAAAAAAAAAAAAGAAAAAAAAGGCAACCTTCCACTTTAACAAAAACCTTCCCTACTCTGGGTGAACAAACATTTGAGAAGCCCTCATCCACTGGGGCTCGCATCTTTCTGCCTTCTGAGCGCTTCGATGCCTTCCAGGGGATTCTTATGCAGCCACTGTCTCTGGAGAGCTCAGCTCCCTGCAAGGAACCAGTCCTCTTCCATTTCCCTCAGGCATTGGCTTCTGCTCCTGGAGTTCTGCCCTTAGTCGGGTGATTCACTAGCCTGCACACATGTTCCTCTTTCTAATGGGCAGCTTGCTCTTACACATTTCAGCTTAGGTCTTGTGTGTGCAGCCCTTTCCTCAGCTGGCTAGGGGGCTGTGTTTCCCCCTTTTTAGTGACAGGAGGCTTTGGCTACACATGGGCAAACAAAGGACAAGTTAAAAGGTGGCAAGAACTTATTGTAGATAGCTGTTTTGTGCCTTTGTGCCCACTCTTACCCCATAATAAGTGAAAGCTAACCCTAATAAACTCAGTGAAATGGGGCTAAATTAAATGAAAGATAGATGATTTATTGAAATTTAGCTTTCACTTATTGTGAGATAAGAGCAGGCATGTAGATAATTACTGTAGAACAGCTGAAATGCTCTAAGTACCTTCCTTTCATTAACTTGTTCTACCCTTTTGTCTGTACTGTGCTCAGTGTAGTTCAAATCAAATCCTTGGCAGATATCTGGGATCAAATGAAAAGAAAGCATCTTGCTACAATCTCCTTCTTTTAAATGGTTTTGTGAGGTGGTAATAAAGGGAGAAATGAAATCTAAGTACAGCAGAACATTCAAACTGTTCCTCCGGATGTCTCCAGTATAAACTAGACTTTGAAGGATTTTCTCCCTGTGAAGGAGGCTAAGCAACTCTGCCCACATGTGCTTTTATTCATGTGGGAGTTGAGACCTGGGTAAGTAGACTGCTGTTTAGGGATGAGTCTGAGCACCTTCTTGCCTTTTCTGCATGTGCTGATATCTGGGCCCCCCTCTACACGTTACACTTAAGGCATGATCAACCAGGTAATCATATCTTAAGTTATGACCCAGCAAAATATTCAACCAATTAATGGTGTGATAAACCAATCAGTAAGCTACAAAGTAATTCCACAGAAAAAAGGGGCATAACTTTGTAGCTTGTTTTAAGCAACTGCAGTTTTAAATATGGCACAGTTTTTGCCTCGCAGCCCATCAGCAGCAAGCAGCAGGACTGCTTGGGCCCCTCAGCCAATCAGCAGTGGGAGGCAAAAACGTGCCATATTTAAAACTGTAGTTTTCACTTCCAATCAGAAGTAAGCGGCAGGGCCTCTCCACCAATCAGAAGTGGGGCAGGGAGGGGAAACTGCAAGGTTAAAGGAGCTGCCATGCATCTCTTCCGCTGTGATTTCAGCAGGTCCTTACCCATTGCACCTTTACGTGCATGTGTAGAGGGGCCATGGGTGAAAGAAACTCCTTCCTGTGTTGCTCCTCTGAACCTTTCTCTCTGTACCCATATGAACCACTTTTTAGGAAAATTTTGACTATCTGTGTGGGGCAATGTAAAAGGCATGCTGAAAACATGCAGCAAACACATGATGCAGACAGTAGACTTAAGGGGTTGAGAGGAGGCGTGCTGAATGTATATCATACGTTCTTGAACACTGGGAGTGAGTGAGGGGAATGAAGAGGAGAGGTTTGAAAGTTTGGATCTATTAATTTAGTCTGTATTCATCATCACGGCATGTTCTCATTCAGGTGAAAATATTGTAATGAGATGAATGAGCCACTTCACCCCTCTCTGAAAATCCTCTCTGTTTAAGGGCATCTCTTCTTATTGCTGTAAAATTAATATGATTATGTAAAAGGTCCTGAAAGCTGGTGTGCCAAATTGGGGTTTAGGATAGAGATGGTGATACAGATTGGGAACATTTAAGCCAAGATTTTCCAAGATACAGCCACCTGGAAAAAAATGTAAGTTGACAAATTCAACCAGCATTTTTGTGCATACTTGGGGAATCAAACTAGAGCTCTGATTATGCACTAAAGGCTCTCCAGTTGCTCAAAATTTACGCTAGTGAGTATATGGCACCTAGTGCCCCTTCTGCAGAAAACAGTGGGTACATGCACATATACATGTGATGCAGAGCCAGGCACTTTTAAAAGCAGCTGGTGTTGCATTGCATGTATTTGTATAAAGGGTTAAATGCACATCAGTGCTGAGAAAATGGCAGCAGTGCGCTTTTAAACTAAAACACCTCAAAAGTGTTTTAGTTTCAAAGTGCAACGTTACCATTTTCTTAGCACTGACACACATTGTGCTGTTTATACACATGCATGTGATACAGCACCAGGCGTATCAGTTCACGTGCTCTGCAGACTCGATTAATCAAGTCTGCTCTGACACACTGTATTTCTGGCGCATTGGAGCAGACAAATATATGTGTATAAATGCCCACTGAGCACAAAATTCACTGCAGTTGAGCACTATAAATAGTGTGCATAAAGTTCAGGGCCAGGGGGTCACTTGCTTGTTATTAAAACTTCTAAATATATTCATCTTCTACCTAACTACTGACAATCCTTATGGCAAGAAGACCCCTCTGCCCCACTTTAACACTGCCACAAGATGCAGCACTGAAATAAGATAGGATCTCTCAGGCTAATTATAGAGAAGTAAGAAGTCCAATGCTGAATTGATTCAGTCTTCTCAGATCAGACTAATCTGTGTAGATTGAACTGATAAGCAAGTGAACAGACATTCACTTTTGATTCCAGAAGTGCAGCCACATGCCTGCGGTGGCCCAGGCCAGAAACCAGGGGGGTGCTAGAGCACACCTCCCTGCTCAACTGGAGCAGATATCTTGGGCCAAGCTAGTCTGCCCACTTTGTGAGTAAAGGCTTGTGGGGGAGGTGCAAAGCATTGTACAATGCTGGGGGACTGGAGTTAACTGGAGTTAGCAGCCCCAGGGCTGCTCTTTTTACCTCTACCCCTGCACCAGGCTATTTTTTGCTCCTCCCCCTCCCCCCACACGCACACTGCCAACCCTTTCAACCCCCATCCCACAAACTGATTCGAGTTCAGCTGCTTCTATCGGTGTTTGCTGCTACCGGAGCCAAACAAATAAGTCCCAATTGGGGGAAGGATGGGCTGTAGGTTCACTGGGAGGTGACCTGACCCCACCTGGAGGTTTGCACCTGCTTCCTACCCCTCATGGGTCGTATCTTTCCCCCAACCCCCAGCAGATCCCTGAGCCCTCCCACTAGGCTCCCTATCCTGACTTACCTGATATCTGGCAGCCATTTTGAATCAATTTAACCTTCCTCTAATGCCCCCAAATATCTATGTTTAGCCATACCAGATTATGTTTAATTTCTGTCCCTAGCCTCAAAGTGGAGTATATCTAGTACTTGTTGAGTACTTCCAGCTTTAGGGTGGCAGTGTTCATAGAAGGTGTTAAGGTTCATAAAAGGTATTAAGGTTGTGTAGTTTTCAGAAGTTTGAATTTTGCTGCACTACATGTTCTAGACAGCCATAAGAAACCTCTGGGTAGCCTTAAACCTGTTTTAACTGGAATTTGTGTCACTGAATTGAAAACTCCTTCTGAATCTTCATATCAGATTTCACCTTATAGCCTGCACAGTCAGCTACCAGGAAACATGAAGATGCATGACAAAATATATAGTTACAGTGTGAATGAAGTAGTATATATGTAGGCAAAGATTTTTTTTATTTCATTCCAGACATGCTGTTGGCCTTAAACTCTTTAAATTTCAGAATGCTATTTGGAGTCAATGATTTGTCCTGGGTTTTTAGATCACTTCTTATCACATAAAATATACATTTTATGTTCCTAGGTTTTTCATACAAGTGTTTGATATTTAAAAGATGTCAAAACTGGTACAATTCTGATGAGGACAAGCTAAGTTCAATTTAAAACCCAGATAAAAAGCTCTTAGTGCAGTATGCAGAAAACTGCAATGACTTGGAAGCATTTTGTAACAGTAGAAGTTAGGAAAGGAAAAATTGTCTGAAAAATGCATTTCCTTTGCAGGCCAGAGAGAATGTAATGCTATCTACCGTGACAAATCACATATTTTTTTTTATATATATATATATATATATATGTGTGTGTGTGTGTGTGTGTGTGTGTGTGTGTATGTATGTATGTATTATTATTTCCCTGAAGAAGTTTAAATTCTATAATCTGGCAACTTAATTAAATCTGCTGGGTATATGTAGAAAATAATACAGAAGGGTCAGCTTCACTCTGTGGAAGGCTCAGAGAGGCTTACAAAATCATATCTCTAAGATTGTATTATGACAGATGTGGAACACACATCTTTGGAGGCCAAATTCTAATAATAATTATATAGCTTAAAGTTTTCGGTTTTAGTCATATTTTCAGTTTCAAGAGCTGTATAATAGTTTATTATCCAGAGCATCACATAACAATAATAATGGCCTGGGGACCTGGGCTTATTTCAGACTTTACAGTTAACAATTTTACAAATTAGCGAATATATTTTTATAGACCTCATTAACTTATAATCCTGTTTCGTTTTATTTTAGTGTTTTTATTTTGTTTTTTTTATTTAGTATTCACTTTAGTATTCATTCTTAACATTATAAAAGGCAAAAATGTTTAGAATAAGTTAAAGTCCAAATTTCAGTCTTGAAACTGAAATTTGTCTATCATGAAATATTTACTAGTCAGCTCCCAAATTTCTGCCTTTTTTTCAGTGTTCACGTACGGAGGACTGACAAAGTAGGAACAGAGGCAGCATTTCATCCTATTGAAGAATACATGGTACATGTTGAAGAACGTTTTGAGCTTCTTGCCCGCAGAATGCATGTTGACAAAAAACGAGTTTATTTGGCTACCGATGACCCTTCATTACTACAAGAGGCAAAATCCAAGTAAGATGAACTACATTTGCATTATTCAGATTGAAATAGAAATATCCTTTGAAGTTAGGAAAAGAGCTGAAATCCCTGATTTTGTGGGTGTGTACATGAGACATTTAATGCACAGTAGCCTAATAACAGTGCTCAGTGGTGCATCACAGCATCACAGTAGTGCTAATACACTACTATCCAGTATTATTAGGCTACTATGCAGTAGCATCACTAAAAAGGCATTTGCCGGTGCTACTGGGCAGTAACTCTAGTTACTGTGCATTTAGTTAGTACTTTGTTAAGCAAGTACTAGATTAAATGTGCGGTAACTACTGCACATTTATGAACGTGTAGACCAGGGATGGGTAAAATGCTGCCCATGGGCTGGATGTGGCCCAGCAGGACATTCTATCCGGCCTGCGGGGCCCCTAAAAGAATTAGAAAATTAATATTTAGCTGTCCCTGGCTGCCTGTCATGCGGCCCTTGATGGCTTGCCAAAATTCAGTAAGCAGCCCTCGGCCCAAAATAATTGCCCGCCCCGGTGTAGACGCACCCTGTGTGTACAACTCTCTTTGTAGGTAATTCAACATAGTGTCTGTAGTGTCATTTATATAGCTGCTGTCGCACTTAAAACTCTAGCTGCTTTTGTAATTTGTTGATTAGATGTCTTAGAAATCTTTTTGCTGGAACTTTTTCCACATTTTGTCTACTTGAAAATTAAGATCTTGGAAAGGTTGAGCAAAATCTCTTTAGCTATTTAAAAGTAATTTTAAAACAGAAAAAGAGGAAAAATGTATTTTTAAAATCCAATCCTGATTTCTAGTTTATAAAATAAATTTGCAAATTAACACAGAACTGTATAATTAATTATATGGTTAAAGTATCCATGCCCAGATCATGCCTTTTTGTGGAAAAACTCACAGGGTAGAAGGATCAGAGAAAACCTTTGATAATTTCTTAAGTGGCCTCTATATTACATCACCGGAGAAGTGCTGAAGTAGGTTCTGAGGATCTTGCCCCCAATGTGACCATTCTCTTTCATTCTCTGCCCCCAACTTCCTGTGCCTCCTGGATGATCCGTTTGCGGCTCCCTCCCATGTCCCACTGCACCCTGGCTGGGCAGCCCCTGCCCCAGCCCCATTCCCTCCCTTACCATGGGGGCCTCGATCTGCTCCCCCACGCCTCTTTCCTCTCCCCTCCTCTTCCACCACAACAGACTTACCAGCTGGACGCAGCTCTCCAAGCTGCCAGGCTGTGCTCCTCACTGCCTACGTGCTGCACTGCGGCTGCATGCGTGCATGGGGTATTTATCAGCCAAATTATCGGCCGCATCAGGCAAAAAAAAGCTGATTTCCGATGCAGTCAATTTTCTTATATAGATGCTGATCTGATATCGGACTGATGTATTGGTGCACCTCTAAGAAATAAAAACATTGTTCACTTAACTCTGTCCTATAGACTACATTGTCATATACAGATGTATCTAATAGGAACTTAACTAATAGAATTTTCTCACTCAGAGTGTATCTGGTGCTTTGCAAGCATTGAACTTAAACAAATAAGCTAACCCTCTTGACCTGATGTTTATAAATTTATATTATATTCTTCCTTTTAGTTTGTGGATAAAAACAAAGACACAAGATGGGAAAAATCCAAAACAAAAAGCCTTTCAGCAACGTAGCCTTAAATTGGTAAATCTGAACATAACATTTAAAGGGCAGTAATACAAAAATTAAGATTATCTTTCAATTCAGCCATATTATACTTAATATTTTCAATTATAGGTTGTAACTGTACATTATTGTAGCCAAGTGTTTGTTCAAATACTTGTGTGTCCTATATATATATGAACTCAGTTGCTCTGAAGCACCAGAAGTCATAATTCAGGAATAAAATTCCCTAATTTCTGCAGCCAATGATGAATTCTACTGCACATGTACATTTCTGTGGCAGCTTAAGGTAAACTCCAAATCAGATTTGTATTTAAATTTGAAAAGAAGTAATTCACTTACTGTAACATTTTTTTTATCTACTCAAATACCACATGTACTCTTTTTTCCTCCTGAATTGGAGTGTGCGTCGGAAGCAGGGAAACTGATTTTTCTGTGCTGGAATTGATATAGTAATGGCTGCTGCTCCTTTCCCTTTTCTCCCCAGCAGCAAACTTTAGGGGTAGAGTTCATCATTCAGTGTCAGTGCTAGAGTTAACCCTCCCACAGCCACTGCTGAATTGGCAGTTGCTTTTGGTTGAGCAGGCAGGGAAGGATGAGTTAGCTGAAGAAGAGGCTCTGCCTCTGTTCTATAGCTCAGCTTTCAGCAATGATTCTAGACAAATCTTTTTTATTATTTTATCAAACAGCTCAGAAATAAATTCAGTGTTTCATTACAGGTCAGATAAATTATTTAGTCTGTCCCAAAAACGATCTCTTTCTGATTTTTTGTAATTTTCCAAAAGAATTAAAAAAAAATAAAAATCACTGTTTCAGCATTTTTTTAATTTGTGGGTTTCAATCTGTTACAAAAAATCCTTGTTGTTTGCACAGCTGTAAGTATTGAGTTCTATATTATTGTATTATAAAGTGCAATTGATTCTTTTCCAGTTTATGCTCATTTGTTTATCTAACAGATCCTGTCGCTAGTCAGTGAGTTCCACGTGAAATGTTCAAGACCCATGATGCTCAGCTTTCTGGTCCTATGGGCCAGATAAGTGGTGCAGGGACAGTCCACAGGCTGGATCCAATGGGTGGGTACCATGTATGGGAATGGGCCCCACACACTGGATCCAGCACACTAGTATGATCTGTTCCACTGGGCTGTGTCTTTTTGCCCGAGGGACTCCCCAGGAGTCCAGAACTTTGGCAATGGGGAACAGTGGCAGCATTAATTGCTGTGGCTCTGAGAGCTGTTAATGCTACCATTGCTTTTCCATCACCAAATTTTCAGACCCATGGGGAGCCCTGCAGGCTAGGTGATACAGCCCCATGGGCCCTATTTGGTCTACAAGCTGGAGTTTGAGCACCAGTGTTCTAGACAGAAGTTTCTAGGAAGTAACGATAGTAAATGTGGCTAAAACAACATAATGATTTCAAAGATTAGTCTCTTACTATCTATCTGTCTTAAGATTTCATGCTGCATCATAGTATTTGAGCACCTTTCATGTAAAAACAATAGCAATTGGAAAGTTTCTAGTAGAGTTAATGGAGTTTCTGGCTCTTCTCCCTTTGCAGAGCCAAAACTCTAATAGGCATAGGTCTTTTTTGATGTGTGGGGCAAGTGAAGTCAAGGCTGAAATGTTCTGGTGACCAACAATACTGTAGTAAATTCTGTAGATCAGAGAAAAATGCTTTAAAAGCTTATTCATGTGGTCAGGATGGTGTTCTTGTTACAAAGTTTTTATGAGTCTTGCTTTAATAAATTGTGTTACATTTTTCTAGATATCCAAATTATGAATTTATCAGTGATAACTCAATATCATGGTCAGCAGGGCTTCATAATCGATACACTGAAAACTCACTCCGGGGTGTAATTCTGGATATCCATTTTCTGTCTCAGGCAGACTTCCTCGTCTGTACATTTTCCTCGCAGGTAAAGCACAAAATGCCTATCTAAATGTACAGTATAGCTGCTAATTCTTTTAATTGTCTCTTTTCTTTATGCTAGATAATGCAATAGCAATACCATGTTCTCAATGTTATATAGTGAACGTTTCATAGAAGAATGAAGAGATTCAGTATAATACTATCTGAATCTCTTTCTGATTGTTAGCACTCACTTGTTGATTTACTTCTCCTCTGCAGAAGTCAAATGTTATAGGTGTTGGTTTAGTCATGGCATTTAAAAGAAGTAGAAGTAATTAAGCTTGCTTAATCATTTATGATGTTTCATACAGTCAGTATATAATCCAAAATCATCTATTTTTGCACCTTTTTATGTTGATACTGAGAGGTTTAAATAACTCTGTTTTAGACATCTCTTGGTTATTGTATAGGAGTTACGAGAAGGGATGGAAGGAAGAAATGTAATTCTCCAGGGTCAATTACATTTCCACAATCCCAGAAACAGTACAGTAAACTTAAGTTTAATTCATTGTGATTTGCTGTTGTAGATAATTACATGCTCTAGGCTTTTCTTGAGTGGCCTGCCTGATGAAGCAAGTCAGAGTCCAAAGACATTATGAATGATGTAATGATTAGTGTTGGCATTTTCTTTTCTATTACAAATACACGTACTTATTTAATGGATCATGAAAAGTTGTTAAGGATTTCACCTCTTCTCTAAAACCATGTGAAGTAAATGTGTTTTTCCAGCACAGGCACCAGTTATCAAATTTCAGCCTCTCTCAAAGTTACAGAATCCTCACCAAGAATATGCAGACTGCTGTCCTTTATAATAATGGTGATCCAGGTTGAATGTATTAACTGACTGCAACAGTGGCAGCATATCACAGAGAAAGAGATAGTCCTCAGTTTAGGAAGGTTCCAGGCCATTATTGGGCTTTCATAGGTCACACCTAACCTGTTAAACTCTACAGAAGCCTTTAGGTAGGTAGGGAAACCTGGAGTAACAGTGTCCATGTGCTGTGAGCTAGATGCTTTATTTATCAATGAATCTGTGACAGCGAACCAGGAGAATGTTCATACATTTCTATTAAACAAGAGCTCTTAAATGCTTTTTTAACCAAAGTGAAAAGTTAGATATATTTGTAGATAGGGAGAAATGAGTTGCATATAATATAAAAAAAGAGGTGGGATGGAACTCAAAATTTCCAGTTGTATACACTTTTATTACTAAAATCATTTCAAAGGGAGAACATACTTGCAACATTTATATATTTATGGAAAATGGGACATTTTGGGTTCTGTATCACAGCTTTTCATGCTCTTTTTTTCTCTTTCTCTTTCTTTTCCTCTTTCTTTTTCTTTCTGTGTTTGTATGTAAATATATCAGAAACATTTAATCCATTTGTAAAGGAACAGACTTTTATCTAAAATTTTCCAGGAGACTTCAGAGAGAAGATTACCAACTCTTTAATCTTCGTTCAGAAGATCAACATGAAATTATTTTGATAATGTTGATATTTGGCTTCTTGTAGCTTAAAAGTGATCATAGGCAGCGTTTTGCAATAGAAAGAATGATGTGAGATTGTTGCTGCAGAATCAGATGTCTTCTTTAATTTGGAGCAGGTATAGTTTTATTCCTTTTACAGGATTTATTTATGGGATTCATTTGATTCAATATTATACTGAACTGAGACCATAGAGAATGAGCTGCACTCCATGAAGAGACATAGTGACAGGCACACTTCCCTGTGAGCTTAGAAGTACTAGGAGGCTATCTGGTTCCTTAGCACTCCTGTGGCAATGTGGGCTCACACTGCTCTTTTCTAGGGGCTGTGCTTAAATGTCATCAAATAACCCCAGCAAAGCAGCTCTCCTGGGACTACCTCTACAGGTTTTTGTAGTCCCACATATTTTTTTAAAAATGAGTAAGAATGAAATACACTGAATATTAATCCTATCTAGCTTTTATCTAAATGAGAAACACTGACTTCAGAAATGAGCTGAGCTAATGAAGATTAGAATACTTGCTATGCTTTAATTAAACAGCTGCATTTAACACTTCAAGGTTAGTGCTGACTCCACTATCTTAAAGTTTAATCGCATGAGGTTGTCTCCATGGGAGTTTGGTTCTATCTGGTTTAAAATCAGATTAGCTAGTTTTAGGAGCTAAGTTTGTTCTTCAGAAGCAAGCATTCTGAGTGATGAGGTCAGCCTTCAAAAATAATGAGCACCAGAGAGCTTTTTATAAATATTGGCAAATTAATCAAACCGTCTATTCCATCCTGTTAATAATTAAATCACTGGGGGGTTTTTTTAGTCCTTTTTCTTTTCTTCATGTTGTCTCTTGAAATAAAGCAACCATAGTGAGGAGACATTGGTAATTTAAGAAAAAGGGAGAGAGAGAGATCTTGAAGATCTGGATGGAAATTAATTTTTTTTAAAACAAACCATTAGATTTTAACAAATCAACCAATGTTTAGTGTACCTTAAAATTATACCCCTCACTTCACAGAAATCATTTTCATGTTGTACATATGTTTGAAGTATTTGCTTTCTAAATTTAAATAGCTTTCCAATATGTAGGGGTAATCTGAATCTGTGAAATTAAATTTACCTTGTAAAAATAAGTATGCATGCTACTTTCTGTGATTCACAAGGCATAGTGGTCAGAATAGATTTGAATAAAAGTTTGGGTTTAGCATACATTTTTATTATTGGGTGAAAATATTTTTGTTGTCATTTAAATTAATATTTTGCCAAACAGTCTCTCCTTTTTCAAGACTGTGTGAATATGGACTCCCCCTCCCTCTTCCACCCCCCTCTCCTTGTCCTTCCCACCTCTGGAGGCTATGAGGACAAAGCAGCACCAAAGACCACTCATTTGCTTCTGACTACCCATTAGCAGAGTTAGACTGCCCCTGGCATTTACTATCTTATTTAAGGTAGAGATACGTTATTCCTATTATCGTAAAGAAAAGAAGAATACCTAAATATAGATAGAATTCCATTTATCAGGAGTGTCAGTATTGGGATGGTACAGATCCCATAGGAGCAGCTAGCTTTTTCTTCCATGGGCTAGAAAAGAAAACATGGCTTTAAGCAGTAGCATAGCTAAGTGGGAACAACCAGGGAAAAAGTCCCAAGTGCCAACTTAGTGAGGACACAAAACTAGCAGCCGCTGCCCCTGACAGCCCAGCTGCAGCTGTAATTCAGTGTGTTGTTGCCGTCCCGGCCACAGAATTGCCCCGTTACACTTTTGGCTTTAAGTCAGTCTCTCAGCACTGGTCCCCTTCTCCAGTAAAGCACAAGAAAAAACTAAACGGCAACTTGGAGAGAGAGTGAATGGCAGTATCAAGGGCAGTACTGTAACAATCGGAGCTTCAGATTCCAGAACTGATATCTGCATTACCTTCCATTAAATTGGTGGTATGATGACTATTCAGCCACCTTTGGCATTTGCTCACCCAACACCAAAGATGATGCAGCACCAAATCACTCAAATGCATCCTACATCACTACTGCTGTAATTAGTTAGCTCATTATACTCATTAGCATGAAGCTCTGGGAAAACTTCCTTTGCTACCCCAGCAAACCTTAAAAATAACCCCAGCATCAGAATCCCATTATTGGACATATGTTCCATAACTGGCATTTCAAGACAGTCTCTGGTGAGGAAATCCAGAAATCAGTTATGAAGCTTTAATTAAGACAAGTCCATCAAGCGTCAAGAAATCTGGGACAGTTTCTCCTTTGGAGGATTTTTCATCCAACGTCATCTTCAGCAGCCTCCAATAAAATATCTCTAGAGCATCTTTTTTTTCCATCAACAACAACTGAAGAAAGTCACACTGGATCATCATTCATTTAGAGGTCACTCTGTTATATAGGAGGACATTGTTACCACATGAATGGACTTTTAAAGGGATTCAGTTCATAACAGATGCCTTTTTAATCTCATGGTCATTTAGGTGCTCTATGCCTTTGTTCCTTTTGCTTTCTTCCCCAGAGTTTTAAGGAAGGCAAAATATGACTGAAAATTCTTACACGTGCAGTTTAGCCTTTTCAATTTTGGTGTTCTGACCTTCCAGACATATTGGATCATTGATTTCTTACTCTGCCACATATGAGGGACATAATCTTCTTAATATCTGATCTCAAACTACACCCAGATTCCATCTCTCTGCAACCTGTCACATGGAGGCACCCTGGATGACACCTGTGGGCATGATATGTTCTTTAAAAGTATAGTCAATTCTTCTATAAACTAGAAACCTTCATTACAAAGAGCAAGGTTTGTTTTTGATAATACCTTTTATTAGACCAACTGTGTAGCTGGGAGAGAAGTAGAAGGGTACCATTTTATGCCCAGAAGTTTGTCTGACATCTCTCCCAATTACGTAGTTGGTCCAATAAAAGATATCACCAAAGGAGCCTTGTTTCTTTTACATTTATTGGACCATCAGAGCTGCACTAATACTTCCACCTTACTACTTCACTATAAAGGGTAAATGGTAATGGGTTTTGTTGCAGGAGTTAGGAAATGTGAATCTTGTTTAGTCAGATACTCCATTGTATTCTGGACTGTATGTTGTTTTTTAAAACTTCAGGTTTGCTCTTGAGCTCCATCAAACTCCATTTAGCACCAATTTCATCCTGTTACCTAACAGTTCAGAACACATCAATAGTCATCAGATAGTTGGAGGAGCCAAATCTAGTCTTCAGTGACCCTTGAAGGACACCCTGAAACACATTGTACAGCTTCTTACATCTCAAACACATCATGTAGCAGTGGGTAGCTGTGGCCACACTTCTACTTAGGGTGACGGCGCACATCGAGCAATGCAGCCTGTTTGAGGGCACCACTTTCAGGCATGGGAAGATCTCACACAGTCAGATATAGCCAGATTTCTGGAGGGCCTGAAACAAGGTTTCCTATGGATAAGAAGATTTCCCCAATGGGACTTAAAATTGGTACTTTAGTTTTTAATAGAATCAACATTTGAGCTGGTGAGCTGTTGTCACAAGCTAAATATGTCATCTGTTAACAAAATCCACATTTGTAATAGCCGTTGCTCTGATTTACAGGTTCAGTAGGAATCCAGACTCTTATGCATGTGGGATAGCAATGAGAGCACATCCTAAATTTATTTGAAAGATTGTTTTACATTTTCATGTTAATCAATGTATATTCAATGACTAATATTATTTCACCAACAGGAGATTCAGAACATCATATGTGGGATGTTAAGGGTACATTATTTTACTACCAAACAGGGTTAGACACTTTCACAAGTATCTTAGGCCATTTCTTAATTAAGATATAAGAAAGTATAAACGAATATTATTCTTGTAGCAGATCTAAATTCAAGCAAATACTAGGTGAGAAATTATCAAAACTTATATTCAGTTGCATTAAAGCAGTATATAATAACAATATAATGAATTAAACTTAACCAAAGTATATTGGTTTTATGCAAATAAAGCATAAAATACCTAAGCATCATGTTTCAGTAGCATTGTAGCAATTGCAGATCTTAAAGTTGCACATGGTCACACATTTATTAGTCATTATTTTGAGACAGCATTGAGATCAGATACTAAAATACAGAAAGCAGTTCTTCAGTATTTTCACAAACTGATAGTTTCTACCATCTGACTTAATGATTTCATAGTAATTCTTTCTTCTGTCCCTAAAGAAACTGAACTTTCAAGTGTTTGTTATACTGTATATTGTGCACTATAAATAAATAAATGAGCAGACAAGTAAACATTTGACTTCAGATGGAAGTTACGTACCTTGCAGTTGGAATGAAAGGCTGATTTATTATGGAATCTTTAAATCTGGGTTTCTGAAAGATACTTCTGTACATTATGTCTATTTGCAAAAGTGCTGCCTTGTTATTTTAAAGGTCAGAAAGAAAGGAGTAACGCGCAATTTGTTATCTTACTGAAAGAAGAGACAGTCTTAAGGACATTTGTAGGATGATTACAGTCCTACCCTTATTGGTCAAAATCCTACTCAACTCATCTTCAAATAGAAAAAAAAAAAGAAATAAAATTAGATTATAATAATTTTACTTGGCCTTTATTGCTGTTTTTTAAATGAAGACACCTAAGTTTTTAAATTTATAATTTAAAGTTATTTTGTTGGCTAACTGTCTCTCTAAGTATGTATAATTTTGCCCATCACCCTAATATTTTGCACAAGACAACTATGCGGAATAAATGAGATGTATATGGTCAAAGATTGTGATATCAGTAGCCATCCATTCTTAACTCTTCCAGTTAGGAATACCACAGTTCCCTTGGGCCCATTGCCAAGAAAACCCTATTTCCCATTTTCATAGACTTTGTACTTAAGATTGACAGCTTCATAGTTCCTGAAGAACACAACTGCCAAGGGTGATCATAGTCTCTGAGAAAGACACACTGAGTTGAAAACCTTGAGCCACATCAATAGGGAGTCTTGCAAATTAGGATTGAATCACTGGACTTGACCCAGTATTCTATGCAAGATCAACCTAATACGTTTTTTCCTTGGGTTAATGTGCTTCTGGTGGTCGGTGTTGATGAGGAAATTTGCTGTATTCTAGGCTAATTGAAGCTTATTTAAAGTTTCTTTGTTCATAACAAAGTATAGAGTATTGCAGTAATCAAGACAGGAGGTCACAAAGGTGTGGATCTCAGTGGCCACATTGTCTTCTGAGGAAGAGTCTTCCATCCAGTCATTAGGAGAAGAAGGCTTTTTTTATAGCTGCAGTCATTTGAATATCCAGCAATTGTAAGACGTGGAAAAGGATTTGTAGGGTGAGAAATTATTTTGCAGTACCTAGCAGACTTCCTCAATAAAGTGTTAGGTGATAAGGAACTCCTCAGAATTTCTCTCTTCCCAGTATCACCATCTATTTCTTGCTGGGCTTCCATTTCAGGCAGTTGTCTTCAGTTTTGCCCAGGTGTAATTGTATAACTAGTATCTTGTATCTTTCTTAAATACCCATGTCCTGCACTTATATGATTGTGTGAGAATTTCAGCTTTTGTTAAAAATTAAGCTGCTAGGCCTTATTGTTGTAGTCTTGGAAAGCTTGAAAATGTGACCATGAAAGTGTCAAAGAAGGGAAAGCAAGTAAAAAAGAAATTCCAAAAATTATAATTAAAAAAATCTAATGTTTTTTAAGATGATTTCATTAATTTGAGTACCTAAATCAACTGAGAACATCCTAATTTTAAATGCTGTCAGTTAGCAAATCATATATTGGGATAGTTTGAAGTTGGTGATATTTTAATGTAAGGGAAAGGAGGCATACAGCTATAAAGTCATCTGCATTCTCTAAACATTTAAAACATGTCACAGGACCACCAATGGTCTCATGTAAATGTGTATATATAGGAGAGAAAATTGAGGTTGTGGGGGTGGCACTTGAGGATGTGGAGATGAATGTTCAGGAGGTGGGTGACCAATGTCCTCCCCAATCTCCCCCACCCCCCACCAAAAAAAAAAAGGATTAGAATGACTTGCATGCTATTCCACTGATTTCTGCTATGTCTGAAAAATGAAATAATGGTATTCAGTGGTATCAAATGTTATAAGGAGCTCTAAGCAGGTAAATATAGGCATCATATATGAACAACACCACCATCATTGTCATTGGAGCTGACTTCATTTCATGACATGGCTTGAAAAGAAAAAAACTAGATAAATGTTTGAGAAAATTATTTAAATTCTAAGTAAATATATGTTTGCCAAGATTTTTATGTAGAGCAGTGACAAATTTTACTTGTGAAAATTCTAAATCATTTTAAAAATGGACAAATGTAATATGCAGTTACTTATTAATGCATGACTTTTTGACTTTGATCTCTTATATGAAAACTATAAAGATGTTCTTCTCTTTCTTGTTACCAAATATGACATTAGGAATGTTAATACAAACTCAGTAAAACTCCATGTCATTTATTAGCAAGGGTGCATTGTTTCTTAAATACACCGTTGAATTTTGGTATTTAAGATGGAAATTCCAATCCTTGACACATCTATGAAATGGAACTGTGGAATAGAGGTGGTTGACTTCTATCATTCATTGGAAGTGTATTGTACACTCATAACTTCTTTTCTTTTTTCTTTTCTAAGGTTTGTCGAGTTGCTTATGAAATTATGCAGACATTGCATCCAGATGCTTCAGAATATTTCCATTCTTTGGATGATATCTACTATTTTGGGGGACAGAATGCCCACAACCAGGTTGCTATTTATGCTCACCATCCACGAACTGCTGATGAAATCCCTATGGAACCTGGAGATATAATTGGTGTGGCTGGAAACCACTGGGATGGCTACTCTAAAGGCATCAATAGGAAACTAGGAAGAACAGGCCTTTACCCATCCTACAAAGTAAAGGAGAAAATTGAGACAGTCAAGTATCCTACATACCCAGAGGCTGACAAATAGAAGAGCATGAGGAGGATTGGCAGTAACTTTAAATTTTAATTGGTTTAAACCAATCAACATACTAACTAATGGCTTACATGGGATTTGAATTTGCATTTTAACATGTAGTTAAAATGAAAGCCTTTTATCATTCAAACTGGATAAGAAACCGAACACATAGATGGGCCATTATTTGAACTTCTTGTTGAACATATTTTGTTATATGCACTCTCACACATGTGCACACAAATACACACACAGTCATACACACAACAGGAATACTGTTGTTTTATACAGTTTGTCTCTTTCAAGATTTGTCTCAGTCATTAGTCATATGTGAGCTTTGGGCTCTCTTCTCTGCCATTAATTGACTGTAATACTCGGACTTACAACACTGCCACATTGTGTAATTTGTGTGACATGAACATATTTTGTATGTGCAGAATTTAAAACATGGTGCCTATATTTGAAAGATCTGTGACCTTTTTAGAAGAGCCATGCCCAAATACATTGATGGGCAAGAGTTGATATTAAACTGGTGTTGTCATGACCACTGAACTTGCTCCAGCCAACAAATTTAAAAATCAGACTAGAACTTTTTTTTCTTTACAAGATTTTTTTAGCAATTCCATTGATTAGTTCACCTCATCATTAATAAAATAAAGGATTCATCCAAACAATAAAATATTCACTGTCTGTTAGGGACTTTTGTAAAACAATGTCATGAACAGATTCTTTAGTACTGAATGTTTCTGGACATTGTCTTTGATAACAAAAAATAAATTAAAAAATGATCAGCTGGAGTTTCATAGAACATTTTTAAACATTCTGCTCAATGGCATATCTACCCAGAGGGTCAGTGTTTCTCAGAGTTCTACGGAGAGTAAATTTTAAGAAAATGTTTGCACTAGTTCTGGTTGTTTTTGTTTGTTTGCTTGTTATGTTTTTTTTAAGATACTGTGCTGTGTTACTGTCCAACTTTCCATCTTAGGATCATAGGAAAGTAGGGCTGGAAGGGACCTCACAAGGTCATCTGGCGGGCCCATCCCTGACTAAACCCATCCCTGTCAAGGGTCTATCTAACTTGCTGTTGAAAACTTTCAAAGATGAAGATTTCACAGTTTTTCTAGGTAGCCTATTCCAGTGCTTGACCACCCTTATAGTCAAAGGAATTTAGTCATATTTAATCTTCTCTGTTTCTTTTTTGAAAATAAAAGTCTGGTAGGGAATTATAAACAACCATTTATTAGTTTGGCATTGAATATAGTCACTTTGAAACTGAAACAAAAAAATCCATATTTATAGTCCTTGTAATCAGATATGTCATTTCAAAAGCATAGGCTTATCTTTGTCTACTAATAGCAGGATTTCCCTTTTGTGCTAGCCAAGCATTAAAAGACATCATCAATTTACCTACAAAAGTAGGCTGTTGTCCTTGAATATATACAGGGCTGGATTTTGATGCGTGACACAGAATTGTTAATAATTTTGAACACTGTAAGGTATATTATGAATCTTCTTTTCAGTGAGGATAACCTTAAATAATCTAAAAAGTAGTTTTCCTAACTTATTTTGGAGTCTGTAAGATGTATGCAATTGTGGAATGTAGGCTGTATCAGGAACAGTGTACCCAGTACAAATGGAAAATAATTATCTGGTTTATTGTATGTGACTCTGGTCACCCATGTTCAAGAAAGAAGTATTCAAAGTAGAACAGGTGCATAAAAAGGATACAAGGATGAGGAGGAGAATAGAGAGTATATATGAAAAGAAACTAGAAGAGCTTGGCTTGCTTAGCTTAGCAGAACAAAGCCCAGAGGAAAAACGATTGCTCGCTATAAACACATCAGGTTGGTAAACAGTAGGGAAAATAATTTTAAGCCAAAGGATGATGTTGACATAAGAACAAAAGATATAAATTACCCATTAGTAAATTAGGTTAGATAATAGAAGGTTTTAATCAACAGAGCAGTGGGATTCTGGAACAGGCTTTCAGTAGTAGTAAGGGCAAGAAAACAAGGAAACTAACTAATTTTAAAATAAGGCAATATCAGTATATGAAAGTGATTATGTCGTGTAGCTGCGTGAAATATCAGGAGACTTGTGTTGGTGACCTAGGAGCCCCTTCCAGTATTAATTTAAAATAGTGTTTACATGCTTTAGGAATTCCAAAATCAGAGGTAAAACTTCAATAGTGGATTCAGAGTAATGACTGCACAGAGTAAATTGCTGCAAATACGTACCACAGTAGCAAATGACAGTCTTTGTGAAAATGAGTTGAGAGAGAAGATATCCTTAAAGAGTGATTTTGATCTTTTCAAAACAAGGTTTTTATCCTTAGAGTAAAAAGAAGTGTATATAATTTAACCTATCTGGAGTCCCTTTTTAGTTATTCCTCAATACATAATACATAATATAATCCCTCTTCAATATTTTTAGATTTTGCAGATTAAGTATATATTGCTATTGGTTTTCTAAGGGTTTTGCTTACAACTGTAAACTTCTTAAACTTCATGCTCCTTGCTTGAAAATGAATACAGAAATAATGTTCGCAAATTAACACATGAAATTTCTTCAAGATCCAGGTAAGTTGAATAAAAAAATCATCCAGAAGGATAAGACAAACAACAGAACATCCAAGAAGCGAGAAACACTTGCTGTGAGAGAAATAGTAGTTGTAAGCTGGCAATTGTATAGCAAACTGTAAAGCTTAACAAAAGCTTGGCAAGATGCCTGGACCTCCCTACTTGTTCTAAAGACACGAAGAATAATGTGATTAATGATTTTGATAAAGGTAAGTTAAAAATAGTATACAATAATATATGATACAGTTAGTAACAAGTTATTTTTACTTTTTAAAATACAGCTGTAGAAGCTGACCCCTTGTTTTCTTGAGTCCTTTGGTCTTCGAGTACTTGCAGTGTCATGCTACTATAACACCTCCCAGTGGAAAGAACCCATTTTTCTTGCCATTCTTTTCTCCAGTAAGCACCTTTCTCTCTGCTTCCCTCAAGAATACTAGCTGGTAAGGTCCACAGATAAAAACTCCATGTTGGATTTAAAAAATAGATGTGATGGACTTGGTTCTCAGTTATTGGAAAGTTTCTTTATGCTTCCAGAATAGTATTTAGATGGCCCAGGGATAAGTGAGAGTCTGTATTTATTATTGCCGTGTACACCATGGATTAAAAAACAAACAAAAAAAATTATAGGACTGTGTCTAATAAATACCTTAAAGAAACTTGATGGAACATATAATCAAACTACTAAACAGAATGTTTATAAAGAAACTGTTTCAAATTTTAATTAGTTCACAAAAGACTTAGTTCAACAGCAGCCCACATTTGTGTTTTTGTTTCTTCATACTAGAGCTCCAGAACTGACTTGTTTAGAAAACCTAAACCTCAGACCAGTTAGCTCATGTTCTCTTTGATAATCACTACTATTTTAATTCCTCTCCATGTATTTAAATACATATTAATGTAATATTTTCCTATTCCACATGTAATGATTGTAACATCTTCAATCATAACCTGTTTCCAATGTATATAGCTGAATTTGTTTTCTTTAAAGAAACTCTTTCGTTGGCTTCTTTCCAACAGAGCTAACAAAATTCTTGAATATATTTCAAATTGTCAGTATAAAATACCATATAAAGGCTGCATTTCTTAAGCTTCTCTAAGTTACACTGGAAACAAAACTGATCCCCGTCCAAAGCTGCCCCAAGATTTAAAATCATCTTATGTCCTAGTTGTTCTGTACTCTGCTCAATGGGACCCTGGCATTTTTTTAGGATTGGGGCTTTCATTGGACAATTTTGGGTACCAGAATTGCAGCAAGATACATTTGTTCCTCCCCAGGAGGGGTGGTTGAGTTGGTTTGAGTGGTTGTTTAAAAGAAATATCAGAGGGTAAAGTTACGTTACACTTAGGCCATACTAAATTTGTGGAATATGAAGCAGTGCTAAAGGCAAAACATGCTGTGAGTAGTCACATGTTAAGGGTTAATGCCATTTCTTATCTGGACAGCACTGGCTTACTAATAGAGGGCTGGTGAGGAGGGGCGTGGCTAGGAGCAAGTACACCTGGGCTCTATTCCTGTTCTGAGTGGGCAGGGACTGGGAGTGGTGTCTCCTGGGATGCCAGAGTACTGCAAATTCCTCATTTTATCTACAGAGGGCAGATTGAAGTTACCTTTATGTGATGTAGGTAGCAGGGGCAGGCAATTATTTCGGGCGGAGGGCTGCTTACCCAGTTTTGGCAGGTTGTTGAGGGCCGCATGGGTAGCCCCACCCCTTGACAGGAGCCCTGCCCCTTGACAAGTGCCCTGCCTCCTGATCACGATCTTGGGAGCTTTGTCCCAGGGCCAGCACCAGTGGGCCCAAAGTGGGGCACAGGCTGGGAGGGCTTTGTGGAGCCGGGCTGGGCTTCACCAGCAGGTAGAGGGGGAAACTGGCCTGGCCCCATAGGGCCCCTGTTGGCCAAGACCCTGTACCTCTGCTACCCTGCTCTGGGCCCCGCTGGCACTGGCCCCAAGAGACCAGTACGGGCCCTGTGCTCCTGCTGGCTCCCCGCCCACCCACTCCCAGTGCCTCCCAGCCCTGCAGTACAGATGGGGGGGCAGCGCACAGCCCCAACCCCCTGCTTACTGGCAGGGAAGAAGCTGGTGCTGAGCGCAGGGAAAAGTGGCCCCTCGCCTGCCCCATGGCTGCTTCTCCCTGCTGCAGCCACCTACAGCCTGTGTGGGGCTGTCTGGAGCAGGCACCAGCAGCCTCAGGCTCGCCCGTCGGGGTTATGCGTGGTGGCAGCAGCTGCAGCCCCCGCCCACTTGTGCTGGGCAGTGTTGGCTGCTGCTGCTGCCCACCCAGAGCTCACTTGTGCACTGGGCAGCACAGAGGCAGCAGTGGCGAACACTGCCCAGTGCGGCAAATGGGGGGACTGTAGCTGTTGTCACCATACGCAGCCCCGACAGGCAAGCCCGGAGCCAGCACGGGGCCCAGGCTGGCAGCAGGGCTGGGTTACAAGGTGATGCTGAGCATGGGAATGGGGAAAGCAACCCCTTTTTGCCCTGTGCATGACGCCCCACACTGTAGCCACTGGCAGCCCTTCTGGGGCTGTCTGTGCCTGCTCCAGACAGCCCCACACGGGCTGCAACAAGTTGCAGTAGGGAGCACCGGCCACAGGATGGGGCTGTCTGGAGCAGGCACAAGCAGCCCCACGCGGGCTGCAAGTGGCTACAGCACAGGGCACCGGCCACGGGGTGAGCGAGGGGCCGCTTTTCTCCCCCGCGCTCAGCTTTTCCCCAGGCTCCTTCCCTGCCCGGGGTCCTCCCCTGCCCTTCCCCCCCCCACTTCCCTCTTACCTGCAGTTCTGGCAGCCACATGGTCCCAGGCCAGAAGCCCCCGCTGGGGCTTCCGGCTGGGGGGTTGGGGCCGGGTGGGCCCTGCTGTTGTGGGAGCCCATCAGGGCTTCCCCTGGGTCCTACTGTCCTTGGTTCCTGTCATTTTTGACAGGAACCAAGAGCAGAGAAATATTAATGTTCTAAATTTTTTAGGGGCCCTGCGGGCCAGATAGAATGGCATCGTGGGCTGATTCTCTGCCCACGGGCTGTATTTTGCCCCCCCCCCCCCCCCCCGCCCGGCCGACAACCCA